GCCTTTGAAGAGCCAGTAAACTGACTCTCCACCTTCTTAAGATACTCAGTGGCGGTGGTACATTCTGGGATTGATCCCCTTATTGGATCCTCAATGGTGCCCTTAATCACCATCAAACACTTGCGGTTTGAACTATCCCACTTTACACGATCAAGATCGTACTTTATTCTCACTTCAGCGTGGCCACGCTGTCGATTAGCGAAAGCTGCATCGGTCTCATTTGCTTCCCTCATCGGGTCCACTGGTTCAGTGGGACACGGAGAGATTAGTGCTAGATCATTGTCTGATAGCGCAAGTGCTATCTCAAGCTTCTCTCGTCATGTGTTATAATTGCTCCCATTGAGAGACATAATGGACGAGATAAACGTCATTGGGTTGTATCCTGAAAACAACGTCAGAGAAAATGAGAAAAAATTAATATAATAATTGCATGCCTTAATTTAACGTTGGTCAATATTAAAACATACAACATTCTTCTACACTAATTCTATATCACCGTTGGGCAGAAGTAGAATTAATGTATAAAACTCTTAAATAAAATTTTATAATATTGCTATCATCAACTTTGGTCAGAAAATAGCAATATCATAAATACAACAGTCTTCTACATTAATTCTATATCACCGTTGGGCAGAAAAAGAATTAATGTATGGAAAAACTCATGAATTTATAATATTGTTATTATCAACGTTGGTCAGAAAAATAACAATATCATAATTTAACTTAAACATATGTGACTACTCCTCTAATTAAATTTTTCCATTAGTTTCAATTTAATTAGAGGATGAAACATTAAAATAGCAGCGGAAACATGAAAATAATCTTAAAATAATATTATTCAGAAACATTTCATAATCCTCATCTACTCTCTGGAAAATCTAACACGTTGGTGCAAATTTTATCAGAGATTTAAACTCATACTTTGACTGAAATTCATCAAATAAATCAAAAGGTGCTTCTGAAAAAAAAAACTAATTCACAAATGTTACTATTTATACGGCCCAGTACAGGAAACCGGCCCACGGCCCCATTCGCACGGCGCACGGCCGCGCTACCCCACGCCCAGGCCACAACCTGGGCCTGGGCCGGGAATTTGCTCGCTCGCCTGGGCCTAAAGCCGGCCCGAGCAATCCGGTCCGTTGATGTCGATCCAACGGCGCTCCGCGCGTATCGGCCGAACAAAAAATGGCGCGCCGCGCCGCTCCCCCAAACCCTAACTCCATTTCTCTCCTCCCCCTTCTCTCTCTACACCGCAGCGGTCGGCTCTCTGTCCCTTTGACGCAGGAGATAGTGGCGCCACCGTGGCACCCCTTTCCGACGCACGCGTGCGGCCGGAGCTGCGCGCGGCACCGTCGAGCGGCACAACGTGGTGCCCTTTTCGCCCAAGCCCAAGGCAGAGACCATGCGGTGGCGAGACCTCGCCCCTGGCGGCTCGGATTGACTTCTCGTGCAGCGTCCATGCGACGACCGACGGTGGAGACGGAGCGGGCGGTCCCTAGGTAGGAATCCCTTTCCCTTTTGTTTTCGTCCCCTTCTTCTAGGGTTAGGGTTAGGCGGATTCTGCTCGATTCAATCGATTCATCTCCTTCTACATGCTACCCTGATCTAGATCTACACGCTAGTGTAGGCGACTAATACCACTGTCAAACCCTTAGGATCACTAGGAGTAGATCTAGCGGGTGAAAACATTTCTAATCGGGAAAAAGGCAACCTAGATCATGAACTAGAACATGAAGTAGAGAGAAAACTGGAGAGAGGGAGAGGAGTATTGAGGTAGCTGACTGTCGGGATTGGTGGAGGATGAAGCCATGGCGAGTTGGCGACGCAGGAAGTCGGGGAAGGAGAGGCAGTGAAGATCCCGGCGAAGGCATGGTCCAGTGGCAACGACGAAGGCAGTGGACTTCTCGTCGCTGGCAGCGCCCCCTCTCTAGATCAGATTAGGGTTGTCAGTGGGGTGTCTGGCAGCTCAGGTGAACCTCGTGTCGAGTGCCCTGGCCCCCCACCTCCTTTATATGGCGCTGTGCGATGGGGGCCCACCAACCATGGCTCGGTTGGGCGCCCCCGATCAGGGCGCGGATCAAGGCCCCGACTCGGTCCGAGTCGGGAGGAGATCAACCTAACGTAGGTGTCCTCGAGGACGAGGCTCACCCAACGGCCCTATGTGCCATGGTTGTCGTCCTTGCAGGTCACAACTGTGCGAAGCCGCCCCTAACTCAATCTTCTTCATGCACCAACTCGCCAAGGCTATTATCGTCGCCCCCACTATGCGCCATGCCTGCTGCTGGCACGTCTGGTGTCTTAGCTCCATCTGCCATGGAGGTTTGCGCTTAGACACAAAATAGAGAACGAGTGAAGAAGAAACGGAAGTCCACGTTGTAAACTAGGACGAACTTGTGCGCGCTTTTTTGAGGGACAAGCATACTCTAGATCTATAGGGAATATTCCTAGTGAGATGTCTTGACTCCAACTCTCTTATCCAAACACTAATAAAAGTAGGTCCATCTCATTCTGTCTCTAGAAATCCTTAGAACCAGATGATACTTAAACCAACACCACAAGCACTATAAAACAATTTCCTAGTTTAATTTTATTAGTAAAATAGAAACAATTACCTCCAAGATTTTTTTATAAAAACTAGAATCATGCCCGTGCATTGCACGGCAGCATAAATTTTTGCTCACGCTTGTAGAGACGGAGTTGATCATTTTCAGAAATTAAAAAAAGTTAATAAGCGATTTTGCATTTGGAACCCTAAACTATTTTCAAATAATGACAGGATCCTCCTCCGTCACATATGAGGGAGGTCAACAGAATTGGGGACGCTAAGCTGCGGCGATGCCAATCCTGCTTGCCCTTCTTTGCTAGGGTTTAGTGGGATTTGCAGACGATGGTGACCACAATTTGTAGGGGGCATGATAGCGCGCTTTTTACAAGAATTGACGGAGGATGTGATCGAGCGGGAGTCTTGATTCTGCGTGTTGACGATCCGGAGCGAGCGGGGTGACGGCATCGGCATGAGTGGGTCAAGCGGGCCAGGGTGACAATGGCGATCACACTATGTATTTTTTACTTGTAGAGATATATGTTCTTGCGTTGCACCAGAGCCTCGATTTTTTGTCATGCCCTCCAAAGCTCCAAACAAATCCTGGAACGCGAGCAAACCCCCGTCGCTTCTGGAAACAGAGGCCACGGACGGGTATTGTTGGGAGTAATCTGCAAATCGTGATGGCAGAGTGTAGAACCCATTTCTCATGTACTTGTCAATAGAAAACTGAGGTTCAGTAGAGGGACATGTAGCCTAATTAATTTCAGTTTTCATGCTTGTATTGGCCCATGGTGTGATAGTGGCAAACAGGTGCTCCTAGAGTGTTTTTGAGTGTGGCTGGTTTTTTTTTTTTTTTTGCCACTTACATTAAAAAAACTGAGGTTCAGTATAGGTGGTTGGGGGCGGCCGGAGAGTCTGAGTCAGCGACCTTTTTTTTATTAGCAACAGGACGTTGTTGGAGATAGAAAAAAATATATTTTCCTATTCAATTTATTAGTCACTTGGTATAATCTATGATTTGGCAAGGGTTTTTTAAGAGCAACTCAAGAGCCTCTCCATATTGTTTCTTATTGATAGAAATAGAGATTTTTGTGGAAAAAAAAACCTCCAAATATTGTCATCCTCTACTTCGGATTTCCCACTTGCCAAAAATAAAGAGCAAGATTAACTCTCTAGAAAAGTTGTTAGAGTGTAGAAAGATATAGAAGATGATTCTTTTATGAAAAAATAGTTCTACAAATAATGATTTAGAAAGTTTTTGGAGATGCTCTAAGGAGCGGATGCTCCAAGTCTCTCCAACGGACCCGGAACTGCTGGATGCACAGAGCTTATTGTTAGGTTGATCGTTCTCTTCAACAGACTTGCCCTTAATTAGTTCATATATAGCTCTTGCATTACGCTTCTCTTCAGCTAGGATCTCTTTTCAGATTATCGAATTGATTCTCTGTCACTAGAAAGTTGAAGCGTGGTGTAAGAAGTAATCCATGCTAAAATGTTTGAAGGGTGTAATGAGAAATTAAATATGTTACCTATCTACTCTTTCTCAAGCATGTTGAAACTTTGTTTTGTCCATTTTATCATCCCCGGGATGATGTTGGTGGATCTTCCCCACTGTCTGCTGTTGTTTTTTTTTAGCTTTCTGGCCTCCTTTTTCTTGCTTGTACAGTTTCCCCTTCTTGTGTTCTTTGTACAGTTGTTGTGCTTTTATTTTAATAAAATCCTAACAGTGGGGGCATAACAAGTCTGATCGTCTGCACGATTGTTGAAATAATTACTGATGTTTCCTTGTGTATCATTAATAAAGTAAACATTAGTATAGTAGTGACCAATTTGTACATATCTCAATCCCCATGGCAACAACTCCAGCAAAGCTCGGGCTTGGCTCTCAAGCCTCTTGCAGCCTGAGTTTCCTAATAATAATCATAATTGATCGGAAATAGAGATTTTATAGAAAATGTTATATGCAGCGGTGCTGCAAATCCACTTCAGTGCAGCATTGCTACTGTTGGATGTCACTTGTCCCATATACAGATCCTGATTCCACATCGGACCTTGCTTTGCGTTGCATCAGTTTCAAGCATAATGGAATTTACATTATCCTGATACGCCCAACGCAGTAATCAGAATATCATATTACAGAACAGAACGAACCAACCAAACACCTTCTAAGAAGCAAGCACAACTGAACAGAAGGAAACGACACTATACAAAGCTAATAACAGGCAACCTGGGGAAGAAACAGTCTAAACCATCACCTGAAGCTAGACAAAATAAAACCAAGGTCTGATGGACACGCCAATTACCACCGCCGGACCACTGAGTTGGGAAGTCGCCCAACACCACCCACTGCTTCAGTCAAAGAAGTCCAAATGGGCCATCAGAAAAAAAGATTAGGTCCAAACTCTAAGGATCAGCTGCCTGTGGGGGCTGGTCGTTAGCCATGACCAGCCTGTGGCTAACAGATCCCCACCGGGCGCCTGGATCCAGGCAGAGCATCAGAGTTGATCGTCTCTAAGTCGTTAGGAATGGCTCTTGCTGCATCCAAGACCTTACTGACATATCTTCTGTGCTCTTTCCTAGTATACTTCAATTCCTTGTCAAGATGGTCAACTTGATTTTCTAGACCTAGAAAAATTGAAAGGTGGTGTAAGATTTAACTCATGAAAGAAATATGAAGGGTTTAAAGAGAGTTAGAACTTTTACATGTCTTCTCTGACTCGAGCATATTGGAATAATATTTGAGTGTAGCAAGCTCCTCACTTTTCTCCAAAATATCTGACATCAGAGCCTGGTTGTCTGCTCTTCCATGTTCCAGTTCCCTGAAATTGAGATCAAGTAATAAGTAAATTATTGTTCTTAGGGGGCCAAACTAGCTGAGAATCTTTTAGAGAACGAACTCATGAAGTTTGAAAATCTCCTCTTTTAAAGCTTCATTCTGGCTTGCAGTAGTATGTACAATTTCATATTCTCTTTGGAGTCTCTCGTCAAGAACTCTTGTTCTCTCAATAGCATCTTCTCGTTCATGTTCCACTCTTTGGAGCTTCTTTTCAAGAAGTCTAGTTCTCTCAGCAGCTGCTGCCCTTTCATTTTCCAATTCTCGTTGGAGCCTCTCTTCAAGAATTCTTGTTCTCTCAATAGCAGCTTCTCGTTCATGTTCAAATTCTCGGAGCTTCTTTTCAAGAAGTCTAGTTCTCTCAGCAGCTGCTGTCCTTTCATTTTCCAATTCTCGTTGGAGCCTCTCTTCAAGAATTCTTGTCATCTCCCCTTCATTTTCCAACTCCCTAAGTTGTGGTCAAGTAACAAGCATAGACAATTACACATATTGTTCAAAGGGGAAAAACTTGTTAAAGAAAATCTTAAGGAAGCTCACTCTATTAATTTTGTGTTCTCTGCCTTCAATTTGCTTATGTGGGCATCATACCTTCCCATGATTCTTGCGTTACTCTGGTATTCATGTTAGAAAATAAGAAAGCCATACTTGCTGCTTCAATTATAACTTCTGTAAGAAATGTGTTTACCTCATTGATCAATGTGAGAAAATTTCCCCTCAAGTTTTCATCATCCTGGACAGTCGACCTTGCACTGGATGAGCTCTCAACCATAAACGAAATATTGTTCATTTGTGCAGTTGGTCCTTGTCGCTGGTTCTCAATATCAGAGGTCGCCGGAAGCCTGAAACTCTCTGGGTCCTGCTTGGAGTCTAACTGATTGTGGGCAACCATCTCCTCTAGGATAGGTGATGCTTGCCACACAATCAAGGCTCCGGTCTCCTCAGTAAGACCACATGCTGAGTCAAAGTCTCGACCCTTAATTCCTGATAAAGCATCTCTTTCGACAAGAGCAAGATCCTGAAAAGAGAAGTTGCAGTTTTCAAGGACTACAAAAAAAAAAAAAAAAAAAAAAAAAAAAAAAAAACTATCCTACCTCGGACAATTATGGATAAATGGTAAAAGATAGTAAACTAATTCCTAATCTCCCAAACCCTCATCGGCTTCATCGATCACCTCAATCAATACCTTCTGTGCCTTACTTTCTGAAGCAGCAAGTGTCAGTGCAGTGCTTCCTTCTGCAGTGATACCCACCACTGAAGAAAGGGTCGATTCAGAGGACACCCTTTCCTTCCTCTTCTTCATGGTGACAACCTTGCGCCTCTTAGGGGGAAATATCAGTGACCTGATGTGTTGCAGGCTATGATCAGGTCTATAAATTATTAAGAGCAACATGTAAGTCTGTGCTCTTACCAGGAAAAGTTAAAATAAGGGAATTTCAAGCTAAGTGCTATATGTTAATCATAGTTCGAAGCGGACAAGTAGAGCCTTGGCTATTACCACAGACTGATGGCAACAAAATATTGACATCAGTATATCATGAATTTTCATGATGTGCATCACAAACAATAGTTACCTATTTTACAGAGGATTTCAGATAAAGTTAATATTGGTAGAGAAAATGTAATTAAGCCAAGTTATTTTGACTGATACAGAAACCAATTAAACGCAAATAAGTAGCTACCACCTATCAACCAGCTGGTTAAGCAAAACTGCAGACAAACAACAAATAGGGATAGAAGCAGACAAGACCTTTTCCCAAAAAAAAGAAGCAGACAAGACCTGAGCTTCTCCAATGGATTTCCCAGAAAAATGCCACACTTTGGGCAGCACTTTATGTTGTCTTTCGCAACCTTGTCATATATGCATTTCCTGCAAACTGATCAAACCACGTCATCATATCAATGGCTGAAGCAATGCAAGTTCAGGATGTTTACGAATTGCTAGCAGCAATGCGATTTTTTTTTATTTACGGCACTAAACACTGCCATTGAGCAGCTTGATCCTGGAGACAAAATATGCGCGCATGGAGAGCAACAATGAATTTTTTTTTTGACAGCACAAAGCACTGCCATTGAGCAGGTTGATTTAGGCAACAAAACATGCGCGCATGGAGAGCAACAATGCAAGCTTCTTTCTTTCTTTCTTTTTTGACAGCACTAAGCAGCGGATTCAACGGTGGGGCGGGGGGCTCGAGCCCCCCCTAACGGAGCCCTGGAGAGCGCCTTGGAGCCTCTATAAATTTTTAGGCAAAGTTCTACCGTGTAGGTGGGGCTAAAACTTAAAATCGAGCAGTAGTCGGAGGTACGTTGCTGTCGCACTTTTGTTCAGACCCCTAAATTTTTTCCTGTAAGCACTACCATTGAGCAGAACACCGATTGCAATATCAAAATCGAACGGAACCCAATCGGGATAGGCAAGCTGCGACAGGGAAAGGAAGGGCCATGCCCGTCCCCGGCGGCCAGGACGCCCACATCGAAAGGACTCGCATTTGGAGCTTACACGCGTGGAGGCACTCGGTGAAGGCGGTGGCGTCGTGGAGGAGTCCGCCGCAGATCCCGCAGCTGACGCGCGGCGCGACGACCGAGCCGCGCACAAGCGACTCCGCACCCGTGCCGCCGCGGCTCCCCTCCCGCGCGGCGGCGTCGCGAGGTGGCTGATCAGACTGCAGGATGGCAGCGCTGTTGGCGGTGTTGGGGCGCGGGCCTGCGGTCGACGGCACCGAGGCTTGCCGAGCTCCCTGTAGCATGGCGGATGGGTGGATTCAGGGCCCGGGGGGGTAGAAAGGGGGTTTTGCTGAGTCGCTGACTGAAGGCCTAGGTGGCAACGCCCCATCGTAGCCACACAAGTAGAATCTCCCTCTTACCCACCGTTCGCTCGGGTGAATTTAAACAAACCAGATAAATCTGAAGAAATTTATGAGAGAAAAATATTATTTTAGATAAAAAAAAAAGTGGATCAAGCTGGGTTTAAGAACACGCGAACGAGGCCTTAATTTAAGGTGACACGGTTCCCAAAAAATTTTTAACGTGACATGGTCTCTCAAGTATACTCTAATTGTTCATTTATTTTAGGTATATATTATTTATTTGATTCTTAGATAGTATATTTAATTATAAGTCTAACCAAATTAAATTCAGATTTGTTTAAAATTAGTAGCTAAATTATTGACTAATAAAGACTATAAAATTTAAATCTTGATATATGTGTGCAGGGAGCAAGAATATGAGACGAGGTTAGTTAGGGCTCTGGTTCCTTATAAAAAGGCTCTGGATTTGGTTCTCAAAAGGGCTCCGACTCCGGCTGCTCATGTGGAATAAATTCTCTAGTGGAGCTCACACCATCCATTATATCAATATTCTAAACATGGTATGCTCCTCCTGTTCATACCATGTAGCGTGTATCGTATCGATATGCTAGAGCATGTCGTTAACCTTGTAGTTCAAGGCTCTTTGGAACACAAGATTTTTTTTTCTTCTGCTTCCACATTTTTCATGTGAAAGATTAATTGATTTATGTGAAATTTCTATATAGTTCTTTTGAAATTCCTTCATTCCAAAGGAGCTTAATCCTTTACGTTGAAAGGCCAGCTTGGAAATAGAGACGTGGAGCCATTTTTTCAGGAATAGAATGGGAAGATGACTACAAAATCCGATATGGTAGTCCAAGGTCATTGAAGCTCCCCTTTCATCTACGTACTGAGCAACTTGCCTCGCTCCTCCCCAACTGGCCCTGCCCTTGTCTTCAGTAAGCATCAATGGCCGAAGTGACGTAGTATCAAGATATTTACAAATTAGCACGAATTCAAACGCCATGTAAATAGTTGCGATTTTTTAAAAAGGAAAATGATGAAGTGGTATATGGATTTATCATGCATTCTACGAAAATTCGAACGATGGATTTAAATCCGGGTACATTTTTCTTTGTCTGGTTAAATAGTCGCGCTTGAACCTGACAAATAGAATACGTTTTTTTAAAAGGAAAAAGAATGCGTTTTGATATTGCAAAGTTATGTCGCTATTTTGTTTTTTGAACTCGGGTATAGATTTTTGTTGGCCTAGTTTCATCGAGCCTTGTCCCCGAGTCCCGACCGAGTTGGCCTCCGTCATTTGGCCCAACCAACAGCCAAGCTTAGGCCTTCCGTCTGTGGCACCAATCGGCCCAAACAAATTGCTTTCTGTTTCAATTCCGAGGGCAACAAAGCCGCCCGCGGGCCCGCGGGCCTCTTTGGCTCCTCCGCCCAAACGGGCAGGGGCGGCAGCCGTAGCGAGCGCGGGAAACACCTCCACAGCCGACTCTGTTTTTCACGGCAGTGGCCCGTGGCCGCCAGCCCGCCACCGGCGCCTCCTCCTCACGCGCGGGGGCAGGACGGGAGTGGAAGCCTCCAGCCTCCCCCACAGCTCCGGAGCACGGTAACTTGCGCACTCACACCAATCTCACCTCGGTCGTTTTGTCTCTGGGCGTCAGTCGCTTGTTGTTGGGTAGGGTTGGGATTTTTCGTTCAATTTCGGGGTGGGCCCCCTCCCCCAAACTGAAACGAAGTTGCGGCGGCCGCGGATCCGGCCAGCCACTCCGCAAGCCTCGCCGCCGCTCGAGCGTGCTGCCGAGTCCAGGCTTGGCCCGCAAGGACGGCGGGCGGCGAGGCCCTTTCCGTGTTCCCCTTCTTTTCCCCGCGACCTTCCTCTCCTCTCTCGGTGTTGGGCTCGCGACGAATTTAAGCCGCATAGTCGCAGTAGGTGCTCCCTCGCCGGATCCGGCGGCCCCATGGCCGGATCTGCGGTGCGGCGGCGAGGCGAGGTGCACTGGCGGCTCCAGCGACGACGATCGGCGGCGGCGTCAAAGGGCCTCTTGGCCGGTGGGTTTCGCGTTGCGCGTGCGGCCAAGGTCGATCGGCGGCGACCATCACACACCGGATCCCGTTCACGTTGCACCGGATCCGTGTCCCCCGGCTCAATCCGGCCCCCCCCCTCGCTCGCTCGCCACGGCGCTGCACGCGTTGGTGGGGCCAGTGTGGCGGGTGGTGGCAGGCTTTGGCGAGCTTCTTGCGGCCACGCGGCTGCGCAGGCGCGCGCCTCCGGAGAGGCTATTTGTTGGAGCCGCCGTTAGGTGGTTCCGCGTCTCACGGAGAAGCAAAGAAAGGCTCCGTCGGTCTTCTCGGTTGCGTCAACAACTCCTCCGACTCCGGTGCTTGTAGGGTGGGGTGTTTGGCGGTCTTGGGCGGACGGAGATGAGGGTGGTGCGGCCCGATGGCGTCTGCGCCGTCATACATCGTGGTGGTGTGGGCGGCGCGCCTGCAGGCATCAGGTCGTCGACGCCGTGGTGGCGTGGATGGCGTCGTCCGCTTTCGCTTTCAGCGTGATCTGCGGCGTCATGGTGGCGAGGTGATGTCGGTCGAAGCGGGCACACTTGACTCTCACGGTTCGTCGGCGGGGATGAGGTGCCATGGCTAAAGCTATACCCATTTGTTGGGTCGATAACGGCGACGCCTTTGGGCGCCGTTCTCTTCCTTGAAGCGTTTATCGGAGGGCCCTCTCCCTCGGATTTGGGCGTCGCTTGGAGGGTGGTGCCTGTCATCTTTGTGGTGGTGTGGAGGCCGATTTGGAGTGGTTTGAGCCGCTCTACCTTGTGTTGTGCTCTTTGTGCTTTCTCCTCTTCACTTTGGTCCGTCCATTTCGGATGTTGGTGTCGTCGCGCGACCGCGGTGGCTACACGGTCGCTGGCGGTTTGACCTCGCGACTACCGGTCGCTTGAGGCTTTCTACGACGTCTCCCTCGCGGTGGGGCTACGGTCACCGGTGACGACGTCTCCTTCGCAGTGGCTACCGGTCATGGCGGTTTGACCTCGCGACTACACGGTCGCTGGAGGCTCTGGAGCTCGTTGTCTCCTTCGCAGTGGCTATCCCGGTCACCGGGCGGTTCTACCTCGCGACTTCTGGTTGCTTGAGGTTTGCCACCGCTGGCTGGACCCTCTGGTTGGCGACCATTGTGCGGATGTATCTCTTGTAGCAAGCATAGCTTAGTTTCTGGGTTTTTTTTCTCTTGTTTTCTTGCTGTGTTCGTCGTTGTCTTGGGTTCGCGTCGGTAATCTTGGGATTACTTGCGACTCCTCTGTGTCAACTATGTGTTGCTTCGTGGTTTGTAACATGTGTTACGAGGGTTCTCTCGTAGCTGCGTCGTGTATCTGTTTGGATGTTCTCTGCTTCCTCTTAATGAAATACGTGCTACAGTGCAAGTTCGAGAAAAATTTCGGGGTGGGCGTCAGTCGCTTGTTGTTGCTTGGACGAAGATTTGAGATCGATCGAAATTGCAGTCCTTACTGAACCCAGTGTCAGTCTAATAGAATCAGGCCTGCGTTGTCCCAGACTCCCAGTACACTAGCAGCTGAGCGCGAGATGTTCAATCATGACAGTGTGCGGCCTCGACTGCTTCGAAGAAGACCTGGATAATTTCGTCTTTTTTTTTTATAAGTCATAGCTGAAAGTATCGTTAATTGATTTATTATGAGAAAAAATATTATTCATTAATAAAAAAATACTATTTATAAGCCAAGCGAACCTTGTGCACTACTAGCACTAGGTCAGCGTAACGGGTGCTTTGTGCTACTGTGGTGACGTAGTTGTTGTAAGGCCATCAGGCGTCCTTTTCTGACCTGTGATGAGGAACAGCTGGGCTCGGAGCCTCATGGGTATTCGACAGAGCTGTCTGCCTCTGAAAAAGCCATCAGTGCACGCATGTATCATGCGCTTATGCAGGGCCCAGTGTTTGTGATGCTGTTGTTTTTTTTTTTATGCCTTGTGATGCTGTTGTTGAACATGTAGGCGAGCATTTCATATACTTTTTCAAAAAAAAATCCTCTCTTGATACTAAGTGTGTGGAAAGTAGCATGTTGTAATGTTTTTTCTGTTCATTCGAAGTGGAAGTCAGACTGTTCATCAATAGAGGCAACGTGTGGCTCGATATTTGAAGAAGCAGAGAGTTTGTCAAATGACATCGATCTGTCAGTGCTGATAGTACGCAACAGGGGACTAATTTGTGTCCTCTAGGTCAGCGTATCTGGCGCTTCGCGCTACCAGGCTCAGCCTGTTCGCTTGCTCGTAAACGATCGTAAATTTTTAGCCGAGAACAGTGTTTTTCTCTCACACCAAACCAGCCAGCAGTAAATAATCCACGATACGATACGACCTCCCGAACAGGCTTAGTGCTGATGCAATTGTGTAAGGCCATAGGCGTCCTTTTTTGACATGCCAGGAATAGGTGGGATCAAACTCTCATGGGTATTCGCCACAGCTGTCTGTGGCTGACAAAGTTATCAGTGCACATAATGCATCATACGCTTACGCAGGGCCCAGTGTTTTTTATGCTGTTGTTGAATATGTATGTAGCACCGTAGCATTTCATATACTTGTGCAAATTTTTATTCCTCTCTTTGAGACTAAGTGCGTGGGAAGTAAGTAATATGGATTGTGTTCTTTCTGTCCATTAGAATTTATAAATGGAAGTTGGAATGCTCAGTAACGGCAGTGTGTGCCTCTATTCATTCAAAGAAGAAATAGAGAGTTTATCAAGAAAAGTTAGAAGTGTCGGTGATAAAAGTATGCAACAGGACTAATTTGTGTACTAGATCAGCATCTGTGCTACCAGTGGCGACATAGTTTTGTAAGGCCATTAGGCATCCTTTCTGACTTGCGATGAACAGCTGGGAACTGGGATCAGACTCTCATGGATATTTTACAGCTAGAGTTGTCTTTGT